TATATTTTTTGTATATTTAATGTATAATATCCTATACATGTCTAACCGTTTTTGATATATTATAAGTTTTATGTAAAAAATGACAGTTGCAGCCAATCGAATAGTTATAAATTTTTCATGTAACGAGTAAATAAATTTTAAACTGGGCGGGAAAAACACCCAATGTGTGGCTAAATTTTATAATTTTTACATTTGCTCCTTGACACCTTTAACCTGGTTCTCTAACCGAAACTCATCTAAAACGTGAAGAATCTCCCGAAAAATTCGCGGAATTTTCGTTTATCCGATGGCAGACGGAAAGACCCGAAGAATGGGAAACGCCCCGATGACTTCGGCCAATAGGAAGCGAGGTTGCCCGAGGAATTTGAACCGACGCGATAATCGGAGCCTTTTAAACCGGATTCGATGCGCATGAAAATCGATTTCGAAAGAATGTGTAGTAAAGTAGCTAAAGAAGTAAATGTTACCTTGAATGGAATAACGTAGTTTTCGCATGTTGAATGAATTCGAGTGGGGTGTTTGGGTATTTTGGATATTCGCTGACTCAAAATAGACTACAAAATAGCCATACGAAATCATTAAATTGGCAATATTTCGAAAACTAAACACTTTTGGAAAAGACAACTTTACATAAACGTACCCTCATTTTTAATACTGAATAAGATAAAATGATCAAAATTGGCGGTTTCCAATTAAAAAAATTTATTTTGGGCGGTTTTCTCAACGTCATTTTGATAATTTGTATTAAATTTAACACTTTGTATTAATAGTTTTAAAAATGTTGTCGGAAATCCATTAAAGTAAGTCCGTTTCAACAAGAAGGGTCATTCACTAAATCAGAATAAATCGGGATTTGGTAAAATTCTGACTAAATTAGGCAGAATTTGAGACTGAAGACTACAAAAATTTGGAATTGGTGATCGCTACAGATTAGAAGTTAGTCATTCTTTAAACAAAGCGACATATGTGTGAAGCTCTGATTTTCTAGCCAACATTCATTAACTCAGCACAATCAGGATTTCTGGAAATTTTAATGAAATTTACCAGATTTTAAGAGTGAAGTGTATCAATCGCTCTAGTGTTACTTTTTAAACGGTAAACGGTAATTTAGATGAAGAAGTTCCCAGGTGGCTTCATATTGCAAAAACAACATTTTTGCTAAAATTTATGCGAAACTCGGTTGAGCGCCCGTAAAATAATTCACGTCATTCAATGTTTCCAAAATGAGAATTTGACTGAAAAAAGAGACGATTTATGAGTGCTTTCTGTCAGAAATGTTGTGCCTGGAAATTCGGGCATTTACGTCGATTTTACGACTCACTGGGTCGCATTATACGTGAAACTGGCGATTATTATTCATTTTTTTATACTGCTCGTGTTTTCTTAAAAAAGTGTCTTTATTCGTTTTTCAATTGATTCCGTCCCCAAAATGGACATTTCCTAACTTGAATGTGTTACAAGTGTTCCACACAAAAACCGATAATGTAAATATGTGGTATTTCATAAGTATCACAATTGCGTTTTCAAACGATATATTCATAATGTGTAATGTGTTTCAATAATGTATTGTTCCAAGGCTGTTTGTAATGGATTTTCACGTTATTTTTCCATTTAGCTACCGTTAGTATTTATATCGTCTTTACATTAATTTGATGGCGGCAATCGTAAAACGCAAAGCGTCAGACGTTGATGGCACCAGTCCATTCAGCAGCTCAAAATACATAAAAGCGTATGCAAATGAGAAAAACATCCCGATTTTTTTTATTGGCTTTCAAGGTTGCAAGAAAATCATCTGCATTTGTTACCAACTTGTCACGATTTTTTACGCCTTTTTCTTAAAATTTTTTGTATCGCTACGCAGACAAAAACACTACTGGATCCAGCAGGTCGAAACACGTGACAAAATATATAATTTAAAACAAATTTGAACGATTATGGTCGTTACAGGCCAATTTATTGTCTTTTTTGACTAGTTTTTGGAGTTTTCCGAGAATGTTTGACCATAACTATTTTCTGTCTCCGAAGAAAATAAAATAAGGTCCTCCCTTACCACAATTAATGTTTCATTTATTTACTAAAATTAGACCCATCGAATTAAGATGAGGGCCGGCTTCTGCTCCTTCGTAACGAGCAAATGTAATCCTGTCAACGGAAGGGTTTTGGTAAAGTCCATGAACCCAAAGACAGATTTCATTAACAGACGATCGCGTTTTTTGCTCGTTAATTAAATAGAACTGGGCAAAGTTCTGTTTATTTTATTAATTGATTTTCTGGAAAGTTTTCCGTGTAACTTCCGGAGATTATCTGGGTTTGAATTTACTTTGCCCCGTAACAGAAGCCACAATTGCTCAATACAAATAGCATTGCGGAAATGGAAATTATAATTGAATCAACAAGCAAATCAGGTGCGGATTATTCGCAGTGAACATTTGATTTTGATCCTTTACAACCCAGTTTCCACCACTGGCAAGATGAACTTCCAATCTTGGAACAGTTTCCACTCGATTGAAGCTTTCAAGTCCATCGCGGTGCAGAGATGTTAAGGAAATTAAACTTCATTAGCTAGGGTGGCCTCACTCAACTCCTCAACTTAATATCTTCTAATCTGAAAGTTTAATGTCTCCTCTAGCATTTAATATGCAAATAGCACTATTTAATTTGTTTTGTGTGCGATTTATATCGAAATAATATTCCGGGATTTCCATGTTTTCGTAAACAGATCCGTTATCATCGAATTTTAATAAAACGATTAATTTTTTTTGCTGATGCCAATACCGATTAAGTCTATGTTGAAATGGAACTCACTGATTGACGCTAATTCCTTATTGACTAATTCCATATAGTTTCGAACAATTTAAATCGAGCTTTTTTTGGCCAATTTCTGTGATGCAATTCCTTGAAATCTCATTTTGTTTCCACTAGTTCAAATCGCGTCAGAATGCCACAGATGCTGACAAGGGTCTATCGAAACAAAGGAAAAATTCTTTCGAAATAAATGTTAATCGCTGAGGTTATTTAATCTCGAATGGGGATTTCGGTGATATGTTCGATTGTAATCCTATAAGAAATTCAATTAATATTCTAAGCGCCCCAATGTAACAGGGATTTATACGTCTGCTGAGACTTTGGCTGTTTACAGATTTTTCGGTTTTCCGACAAAGTTTTTGAAAATGGAGTTAGAGCATGTTTACAAGAGATTTTAAGCTTATTCCACATAATTTTGTCATTTGCATTTTAGTATTTGAAATGTTAACAATTTAGCTTCTGCAGGAATGTTTTTGAATTTTCTTTTGATTAGAAACTTGAAAATGTTTATTTCAGAATAATCCAATTATCCCGCCAGATTATTAATGAAATTTTGTCAAAAGCGCCATTTAATCAGAATCCTTCGGGATATTTTACTTTCAACGTTTGTACTTTGAATTTGAAAAACATATATTTCGATTTTTTGAATGTGTTTCTGAATTAAATATAAAACTTACAAGTTTTATGGTAACAAGAGTATAACAAGTAACAAGTACAGAGTTTTATGGTAAAAAAACAGCAATACTCGTGAAAACCTTTTAAATAATAAATTACGGATTCAATATTTTATTTCAAAAAAATTTTTGGTAAAATAAATTCGGAATGTAGTCGCATATCAGTTCCTCATTTTGCACAGTATCCAATTTTTCCAAAACGATCACGAAACAAGATTTTTTAATCTATTACCGATCCAGTCGAAAGCCACAAGGTCTATTTATCCCCTTTATTACCTACAATTCTTCAACCTTAAATTCTTGAAAACCACTCTCGCTTTTCGAGCAAACTTAATTATACTACCCTTGTGTGTCATAAATAAATGATACGTGTTCAGCAGGGACGAGAAACTATTTGATTATACCGAACTTTATTCAATGGGATCTACAAATCACTTCCATTAGCCTAATTGCTGACAAACGCCCGGAAACAATATACACATTATGATTAGAGCTAGAAATATGAGATGATCTAATTATTGATATAATAAAAGTTGTTTTTGGTGTCATTTTGTTTGCTAGTCTGTATCTGTTCTAATATTCCTTTAGTTTAGATTAGAAACAAGAGAACTCAATTTCTAAGACTGAGGATGGAAAATAACGTGCTTTTCAAATAAGAGATATCGTGATGTGTTAATCACAGACACCTTCTTTTTATTTGCTGCTTATTGATTAGCTGCTTGATTTGGCGTAATAATAACACAATTAAACCGGTGCTTCTGGCAAAATAAGGTCCAGGTTTCGGTAGAGTTGTTTTTAGCCTGAACGCAGCTATTTACAGTTAAGGGGCCCTCGATCATCTCAGCAACATTTTCAAAGTTTAATTTTTCATCTATCTCAAGCATACTGAAAGTCGATTAATTTTACTTGCTTAATCAATTTCGTTTGAAAACATTCCCTAGTTTACACTAGTTTAGTCGTGTATTAAAAATCGATTTTAAATATTTGTGGGCAATGTGTTTTGAAAAATAATTTACATCGAAATCTTTCAACAAGTCGGAGATCATCCAGAAGATTGCCTTGCTGACACGTGAACTGGAGCATAAACTGATATAATTATAGCCGAAAGTATTAACTTTATGCTATCATGTGTAAGTAAATAACGCCGAATTTAATAATTTATTATATTGACTTAACAGAAAGCGGATTTTGTGCAATTGCTGCTAATTTCGGTTACTGTTTTTATATTTTGTCAAATTCTTAGACACGTTTTTTTGTGTGTGAATCGGATATTTTTCCATATTTATGGGAGGCTATTCTGGCGCAAAGGCGCCGAACTAATTCCAAGTTTGTACATTTGAGAGTCTTCGTTCTCTAATTGATATTTAAAAATGACGAAAAAAGTTCTTCAAATCCGATTTAACACACTTTCGTTTTCCTGATTGAAACTTTTAGCGAATTTAAAATTTCCATAACTTGATTTGACAAAACAATTTGATTTTAAATCAATTTTTACATGAAAAAGGGGGTGGTTTTACTTACGCATTTTGTAAAAACGGAATTTGTTGATGCACTTTGAACGTCAAATCCAAAATAGTGAACTTTGTCAGGGAGCACTTTCATGCAGAGTCGATTACGGTCAACTTCCGCGGAAGTTAACGCGCACACTGAGTGTGCGAACTATACGTTGAAGTCGGAACTTCCAGGAAGCGCTGTGAGACGACTGAAAAAGCGCAAACTTTCTGTTATTGTACACACTATTGCTTGAAATTGCCGCATTCTGAAAAAGTGCCTTTCAACTCCAACTTTGAACTCTTTGCATTACATTTATTGGTGCTATTTATGCAGGTTGCAGTAGATATCAAACTTTCAAAGCATCGAAGACTTAAAAAAAATTGTGTTTACTCACTATTTTAAAAGAAGTTTTATTCCTTGTTTATTAAGTTTGAAAGTTACATTTTTTAGAAGGTTATTTTATTTTATCATATACGAAAGAGCTCATCGGCCGCCACTTCAGACAATTTGTCTGAATGAGGCATGAAAACCTAGTAATTTAGCGAGCTTCGTGTTCTCATGCCTTCATATGTAATTAAAGTTGCTAGGTCTAATTGGCTGGATAATGAAATGTAATTTAGGATTTTCTTTTGATTGATCGAAAATGAGGATAAATAAAAAAAGAGAATAGTTAAATTTCATTGTTTTCCTTTTTAACTATTTGTTTGTGGAAAAAACCTGATGAATCCACCAATTTACTAGAAGCATTTACTAAAATGACTGATTATTCCGGGGACCTGTAAAGCAAAAAACTTACAGAATGCGCTTACTCTGAACTTAGGATTGAAGGTTTGCATGGAAGAAAACAACATTATTAAAGGTGTTCTCATCGAAACAATAACCAGATTAGGTAATTTTTTTTGCCGCAGTGTTTGATAAAAACGATTACAACATTGAGTCGAAAACGCATTCAGAACTTACCTTCCACAAACAAAGTTTGTTCGCTGTTTAGAGTTAATAGTTTTTAGACCAATTGTGAAAGATCAGAATGTTTTTCTTCATTTTTTTGTTTTTTCTTTGGCCTGAAATGTATAAAATAAAACACATTTTTTGAATTAGTATGTTTATTCTAACTATGATTATTATAATCAGAATTTTAATATATCTAATTTTTGATTGTAGACACGTAATGTGAAACATAATTAACTGTTTGTACCGAATATAAGCAGATAAATACTAATGTTAACATAACATCTATTATCTCTGATAATAAATATGGCAATACTAAAAAGCTTTTATGGAGATTCACGAGAAACTAAACATTTCTATAGAGCAAGTGATTTAGTTGAGGAAACTAAAAGATAATTACCCTGCAATCTAATTAAAGACAATGGTTTGGCGACAATGTTAGTGCGTATATGAAAAATGCGATGATTGCAAACACCGAAGAAAACGATTAAATGATCTCTAGATGTCGATTATGTATCTAACAATTTTTCGCATTTATCGTTTGGCTTATTCCGAGATGATTTTTGTTAATTTTCCATAACAAAAACACTAACAAAGTCCAGAAAACAACAAGCAGTGAAAATGCTGATATTGAGAATATCAGCACATCACACAACCCGATACAGTTTGTAGGTTCACTTACAGGCACACTTAGTGTAAACTAAAACATAACGTGGCTGGTTTATTTACAAATGTTCTGTGAATTAGACAATAAAATATTTATAACATTATATAAATAAAAGACTAGGTACGGAAAAAAGGACACAAACAATTTCCAAAAAATAATAATTTATCTAATTTAAAATTATACCAAACAATAAGGGTTTCTTTCTTTACATTTAAGTAGTTGATAAATACTGCTCTAAATTTAAAACAGGTGATGCTATTATCAAACTAATGTGGTTTTTTATTCAATTTACACCAGGTTGGGTTTGATTCCATTTGAGGTCAAAACTTTATTGACAAAATTTACAATGGCTGTAGCGGGTTGGTCGGGGTCCAGTTCGGCAAATAAATGGCATTGGTTGTCTGGATTACTCACATTTGGTTTACGGGCGACAAATCCAAAAATTCGACTGAAAATATATTAAATATTTACATTATTTTCAAAGTGATTGCCATACATCCACATCTAAGGCACAAACTTGAACACAATTTTGCCTGCGATCACAATTTATCAAGGTATGACACATTTTGTTAATTTTGGGAATTTTATGCATTTTAAGCATTTAAATGTGTAGTTTTTTCCGTTTTATACCAGGTAGGATATGCGTCAATTCTTCGGATTGATAATTGAGAAGTGTAGTCGAACAAAGTGTAAAGTGCGACAATTTTTACTCAACCATTACACTGACCCACGTTTTTCCATAACCGAAAACACCGGGAATTTTGTTAGACTTCAAGATTATTTAGAAATCGCTAAAGTGTATACAAAATGTATTTGAACAATATCAAATAAAACACAACACTTAATCATTTTTAGAGAGTACTAATAATCACCCCCGAAGAAATACGCCAGTTTTTAATCCCCCGAATGATTCCAAAATATCTTTCAACATTGAACTAACATTTCACGCTGTTGCAAATACTAATTACTCATGTGGCAAATGTGTGCGTAAAAATGCTTAAAAGTTCGCACTTTCATAAAGATTGAAACTTACTTGGCACTTTTCGCTGACCCAGTTTCTTCAATATCCACCAGCCACTTGCGCTCCTCCGGATCCAAACCGCAATGCGAAATGGTGTTGATTGGATAGTGTTTTCTGAAGAACAGCTTCCTCTTGCTATCAGTTAGAGTGATTCCTTGGCCGTTAACTTTGAAATGAACGGTCGCTATGCCTGGACGATTGGCTTGATGCTCTTGATCATTGGCTCTTTGCAATAGCTGAGTTACCGCCTTTTTCACTGCATGAGGTCCAGTTAAAGACTCCATTTCCAATGTGCAAAGATAGTGAACGTTGCAAGCGGCTCCCTGGATCTGGATTTGTTGGTGAAGAGCTTGGGAGCTGTTTCGGCTGTCGTACCTAAAAAATCAACGGTTTGGCATTGGTTTCGTTAGAGGTGTTGGGATTGTTGAGTCTTACCTCAGGTCTCCTTCGGGTAAAGTAAGGCGGCAGGGCAGAGCAATCTGGGTGATAGAATGTTGGTAAATTAGAGCTGACAGTGAGCTGAATACTGGCTCATTGGTGCAGCCCTTCAAACGGACTCCTTTCGACGTGGGCTCGATCAAGAAGTGCCTGATTAGTTCGTCAGAACCTCCGGATTTCGCCTGGAGGTTTGATGGAACTGTAGCGACCCGCAGGGCTAAGCCGAAGGCTCCAGGAAATGAATTCGAATCTCTAACCACAAAAGTTCCTGGAGGTTGGTCCCGAAGCATGCTAATTGCTGTAAAATAGAATTTTGCTCAATTTGCTCATTTGCTCAATTTTTCTACTACGAACCTTCTTCTCTGGATATGCCTGGTTTATACCAAAACTTGCTGGTGTCCCTGACGATTTTTACATGAGCCGCCAGGACTTCGTGGGGCGCTTGGTCGTTTGCACTGGACGCTATTGATCCTCGTCGCGAATGTCCATAATATGTGGGTGAGGAGGAGCCATTCTGGTCCCGATATCCAGTGGCAGAAACGCTTCTTTGGGCTACAGCATGCTTGTATTCCCCATCTGAGACGCCATTGAGGTCGGATGGTGAGGTAGGGCGGTCCTTTCTAAAGACCCATGAAATTTAGATTTTTGTTCAATTCGGGATAGTGCTTAGCGAACATGCGGTGAAAAGTAGAAAAATTACAGCGACCAATGAATTTAACGGCTGTGTATTTTCTAGTTGTGAAAGGCAAATGGGATGCATGTTCTTCTTGGTTTGGTTTTGTGGTGATTGTCGCGTTGCGAGTGTTGAAACGGTGCAAACAGAAAGATCTGTGTTCTGTGCCTTGGTAAATTTAAGATAATTGCTGTTTTTAATTACATACATTTAATTAATGACAATAACATGCATACACTATGAAAGAAAACATGCTTCAGTAAAATTGCTAGTTTGTTCCTGAAGGGTGGACGACTAAAAAGTGATGAATCTGGAAGAGTTTAACTATGATGATATTGAATCGATACTAAATTTCCGGATTTTTACTCAAATATTGAAAATCAGCCCTTCAGTCGCATGATGATATTTGCAAGACTTTAGGCTTTTGCCTATTTAAAGGATTCTCTCTTTGAAAATGTAGAAGTTACCCATGCAAAGATTCATAAAATGGGCACCCTGTATATACAAAGTGCTAAACCACAAAAGGAACAATGGATTTAAATTTCTTAAAGATAATTTCAAAATATAAAATTATAGCCAAAAAGTCAAAAAATGCATGTTATGAAGCACAAGAACATTTTTTTTAAATAAAATGTGGTCAACTCTAACTCTTAGAGGGCAACAACTGGGTTAGTTTTTTTTCAACTTTTCATTTCAAAAAAGGTCTTTTTTACGAAAAAAATTTATGTTTGCATTACATTCTTGGGTTACGTTTATGCAAAAAAGTAGTATCTTAGTTTTCGCCCTGAAAACTGGACCATCCTGTATACTAATCCTCAATAGAAAAATATTTTATCAAGAATAGATAAGCTGCACCAATCGGGAATAGAATGTTTCGTTCATTTCATTTCATTATAATAATATTAAATTTTCGAACTTATACGTTTTGAAACAATTTGACGTTGAAAACCTAAGAATCAACATCACATATTGTTGCCAGAAAAGGTTCGTTAACTCTCTGTTTTGTTTCGTTGGAAGGTAAGTCATCCATGCAGACTTACTTCGCCTGCAAAATATTCAAATAGCGAACCGTGGACGACTAAAAAGTGATGAATCTGGAAGAGTTTAACTATGATGATATTGAATCGATACTAAATTTCCGGATTTTTACTCAAATATTGAAAATCAGCCCTTCAGTCGCATGATGATATTTGCAAGATTTTAGGCTTTCAAATGAATAACTTGAGAACCTTTCCAATAGTGATCAATTTACAAAATGTGCAAATCTAGTCTAAACATCGAATCATGCCACGTTTTTCCACATAGAATTCGTTTACGTTACCTTTCAGGGGAAAGAGACCATTTGGCATTTTTAGTCAACGTGGCTGATGGAAAGCTTAATCGTCTATAAATTTGATAAATAAATCACGTAAATAAATGCCTTGTATTCATAAGATTGATATTTATCAACAAAATGTACAGGATGGTCTAGTTTTCAGAGCGGAAACTTCAGGGATTGGAAATTGAACAGTATTCTAAGCTCTATTTGATTTTTTTGAGTTTCTCGAATATAGTTTATAATCATGTAAGTTTTCCTGACTGTATTTCTAATTTCTACATAAACAATGCTCCTGGGTTTCGGTCATTTATTTAGAATATCAGAATTTAGTCATTAAACAACAACGTTTCGGTGCTTTTCCACCATCATCAGTTTGTTCGTGTAGGCGGTTGTTTTGCAGTCCTAAAACGTGCGTAGCAACAACCGCCTACACGACCAAACTGATGATGGTGGAAAAACACCGAAACGTTGTTGTTTAATGACTAAATTCTGATATTCTAACTAAATGACTGAAACCCAGGAACATTGCTTATGTATTGCTTTTCGATTTCAATCCCTAAAGTTTCCGCCCTGAAAACTGGACCATCCTGTATAATAATCCTCAATAGAAACATATTTGATAGAGAATAGATAAGCTGCACCAATCGGGAATAGAATGTTTCGTTCATTTCATTTCATTATAATTATATTAAATTTTCGAACTTATACGTTTTGAAACAATTTGACGTTGAAAAACTAAGAATCAACATCACATATTGTTGCCAAAAAAAGTTCGTTAACTCTCTGTTTTGTTTCGTTGGCAGGAACGTCATCCATGCAGACTTACTTCGCCTGCAAAATATTCAAATAGCGAACCAATCAGTCGCATATTTTCACCGCGTTAAACCCAACTGATGAAAACTAACAGGCTCCAAACTAGCCCTGAAATTGGCTGAAAAAACACAGTGACTCGGACGATTCACAGAAGCAATTGTTCCACTCAAAACGGACCTCAAACTCTTCGCAAATTCGTAACTCAAGAGAGTAAACTTGAAGACAAAGAAAAGCGACTTACCTCTGGGTTGTAGGACTCTTGGGAGGCAGGCGCTCATGGGACAAATCGAACTGCACAGAAGGGCTTGAGGAATTGAGGTAGGGCGTTCGAGCCAACACAGGAAACGCTGGTGTTTGCGGCCTTGGAGAAGAACTATGTGATGGCGATATATCAGCGTCGTTGGGCGTCGAAGGCGACCTCCAAGTGTACGAAGACTGCTCGAACTAAACAGAAAATCTTTAACATCTCCGCACTGAACTTTCGGGTTAAATAGTATGCAATGAATGAACTATTGACTAGCAAGTAGCAAAAGTGTATAGAAAATGATGTGGTTAGTACCTGAGACCATGCGGTCGTGTTAGGGCTATTACTAGAGTGTTCAGAGCCGCTTGATAGGTTAGCGATGAGATCGTCTAGAGCGCCAAGCCGAGAGTTCTCGTCTCTTAGCGGAGACTCAGCACTGGAGCCGTTTGCAATACCCACCGATTGTTGGTTGTAGCGGACTGGCTCAGAACTGCCCAAGTACTGGTTCTGACGGTACTGAGACTTCTGCTCCACTAGGGACAGGAGGCCGCTATCCACTTGGTCAGAAGCGGTCCGTGAGGGCGGCCGCACTATTTGTCCCAGCGGATTCGCTGCAAGAGCCGCCACTGGATCGTGAGTCTGAAAAGTTAGGGTTGATGGTGTTATCGTGAGGTTAGAATGGAATCTAGTTCTACAGAAGTTACGGATTTTAATGTGGACGGTGACAACAACTTTTCATTAAGTTTCTATTTCCTACCCTGAAAAGTAGTACCTTCTGGCAAAGCTGGCGATTTTAAACCTCTTTTAAACAAAACAAAGCTTGAATCTCATAAACAGCTTGATGCTACAGGAAAGTTTTCTGATTCTGCCTAATATAGGTAAAACTCCCGCAACTTTATTGTCATTAAATGTGTGCACTATTGACTTTGAGCGAGTTATTGATCCGCATGGTTACTTACTTGGGAAAATTTTTCATGGGCTCGTTTCACAGTCATAAAAGGGCGTTCATTCTTAGCAATTGTTGAGTAATTGGACTTGATGGTGCTGTACTGTGAAGAACTGGGCGTCACCCCATTTCTCTGCATTGTATTGATATGTAATGGTATCGTATAGTCATCGTCATCGTCTGCAAAAGCCGTGGTATCACTTGTGTAACCATCTGGAAAACCAATCCAAAAATTCTTATTTGCTTCCAGTGTTTTTTTAATGGCTTACCAAGTCTGTGACTGGCTGTGGGTCGCATGTGCCTGGACTGAACCTGCTTCAGTTCGGATAACAGCCGCGTTTCATGAGGCTGGCGCTCTTCTTGCAGCCTCAATTCTCTTCGTTCTTTGAGTTTTTGTTGTTGTCGTTGCAGCCAGGTAAGATTGCCATTTGCGTATCTGTAAGCAATAAATAGCGTCTTTAGCGCAAACTGTTGGAAACAAAGCTGGCGGATTGTGCAAAAGTCAGACGTTTATTATGCGAGCATTAAGTCCGAATAATCTGCTGATAAATTATAATGGTCATCGAACTCGACAGAAGCTCCGTTCCAATCTGGTGGAAGACTTTTCTTAATTTGGTAAGACAGGTACCCATGCGGTACTACGAAGCAAAAAGGTACCGCTTTATTATTATTAAGTTTCACCGTACAAGCCACTTAAACAAATAAGTCTTCGACCGCTTTTTTCGTTGGATTAACTGGGACAATTTTCTGTTTGTGGAAAGAGAAATTCGAAGAGTTGCCTCAAAACGATTAAAAATCGAAGCACAAAAAATTAATTACTAAGTTTGGCTATTAAAAGCCCATTTGAGCCAATCAGGTAGTGTCATACAATAATGCAAAATGCTGCAGAAAGTACATATTTTTCGTGTGTTTTTTGGGGTTGCGATTGGTTAAAATTCTTTATTTCCAACAGAGAGTGGTTTTCTTCTTCTGGTAGAGTTTTTCGAAAAATCACGAAAATGTATCTAATATTTAGTTTCTCGTAGAACGTCGTAGAATTTCTGAATTTTACTACATTGTTAGTTTCTGTTGCCAATTTTTAACGGAGATTTTCGGATGACCAATACCGCCATACGTTGGAGATGAAGATGGCCTACTATTAACTGAAACCTTGTAATAGAAACATGTTTGTAAGTCCGAATTAAACGTTTAATACATTCTGAACATCTTCGCAATCGTTCATATAATTTTATACATTTATTCTCGGTTGTTGGATGTGAGATCAGCATTTTTTCTGGCTTTAAAATATTAGTTCAAAAGGAGGCTTGCTTTTTAATGCATTATCGATTTCAGTTGAATTTTTCTTTGAGGATTTCAAAAGAAGGAAGAGCGACTTCCAAACAAGCAAATCTGACAATATTCTAAATATTATATGATTTTCCCTGAGTTTATAGTTTTTCAGAAATTTGTCGCATATTTCAATTATTAATTGAAAGTTATTTTTTGAATCCTTCAGAAGATCATTAGTGGTTATATCTGGCAAATTTTGGAAACAGAATTTTTTTTCTAAGTTCAGCAGATTTTGAAAAAATGTCCATTTCATATTCTGCCTCAAAAATTTGCAGTTTGAAATTTTCTGAAGTCAGCAACTCAAACATGTAGCTTATTTCCGATAAAAACCGGCGAAAAGTAAGAAAAGTGGAAAATACTAAATTCCATGTTATAAAGCGCAAAAACTCTTTGTATACATGTAGTTAAAAAACTGACTTAGTTTTAGCGCTTTTACAGTTATAGAAAAAGCGTTAGTTTTTAAACACTTTTATTTAAAAAAAAACGTTCTTGTGTTCTTACAGCGTAATATACAGGGTGGCCATTTTCTGAATCTTTGTATGGGTAACTTCTACATTTTTCAAGATAGAGAATCCGTTAAATGGGCAAAATTGGTAAGAATTTGATTGCCTATTCATTACCGTTTTCAAAATTTAGGTACCCGACTTTTTAGGTACTCATACAAAGATTCATAAAATGGCCACCCTGTATATACAAAGTGCTAAACCAATGGATTTAAATTTCTTAAAAATAATTTCAAAATACAAAATTATAGACAAAAAGTCAAAAAATGCATGTTATGAAGCACAAGAACATTTTTTCAAATAAAATGTGGTCAACTCTAACTCTTAGAGGGCAACAACTGGGCTAGTTTTTTTTCAAGTTTTCATTTCAAAAAAGGTCTTTTTTACGAAAAATTTAATTTTTGCATTACATTCTTGGGTTCCGTTTATGCAAAAAAGTAGTATCTTGATAATATTCCGCGTTTTCCATAATTTTTAAAACATTCAACCCTGAAAAGTTCACATATTGTGATTATGAAAAATTTGGTTACTTCGAAATTGGAAAATTAACAGACCGACCGCAAGAAAACATATAAAAGGAAGCAAATAATAAACGTGAAGAAACTGCAAAATGAAAACATATCTTTGGTGTTTTTTTACTTTAGCCCTGATTTAGAGTCATTACTCATCGAAACCTTCTTTTACATAAAAAAATCTCTTAATTTGTTTCTTAGACAATACCGTTTATAAATGTGCAAAATGTTGTTGATTAAAATGCGATTTCTTAACAATTATCTACTGTTAATGGAATCTATATAAACACGCAAATAACGTTTTATAATATAATAGTTTCAAAGTCTAATTAAATGGGAGCTGCTTGATTAAATATGTTAAGCAGTAACAATTGAACAAAATGACAGACAATCAATTGTTTTCCATTGGCTCATTTAAATGAATAGCCAGCCTACGCTTCACGTGCTAAATTAAGATGCGGCTTATTATGGTCAGGATCAGGAATAATCAGTGACGTTCCACAAACAAAATTAAGTGGGCATTTCTGATCGTTTTTAAATGCTTAACGGGTTTATTGCAAAAATTCCCAATAATAATAATTGCTAAATCTTCATTGAACATTGAATATAAACCCCGCAGAATTAATAAAGACCAGGTTTTATCTCGATAAAATGTGCGATACTCTTCCTAATGTATCTCTGTTAGGAAAAATGCCATCTCGTAGGAGGATAAATAATATGGGTATGGTCAGTAATTTCGATCTAAGTGGGTGCAGCAGGCTCAGCGATGCGATAATAATTGAAAACACGTCCTTTTTTTGGCCTGCAAACGAATCAGCATATTTTCTTGTTTTGGACACAATATTTAACCAGATTTTATGCTGATGCAGTCGATTCACTTCCAATCGACGCAATCGGCCAATTAAATCCAAAGTTAAATATTTCAGAACCGAAACCAAACCGAGCTGTTAATTACACTGTTTTAAAAACAAACAGCCTTTTTCGTGTCATCGATCCATAACAGTAGACATATTTCTCCGCCAACCAAGTTGATTTCTCACAGTTTCTCAAATACGCTTTTCCATATTAGTCTCAGCCGCTTCCTTATTAGACAAATTCAAGTCACTGTAAATACGTTAAAATCGATAGTATTTTAGTTATATAAAGGAAAAAAGCCTTCAGGTGGACAAAGAGGCTGTTTAAATTATTCTGCGCACACAATCGCGGGAATTCTTTGTTCTAAGTTTGTCATTAGCAAATATTTTCTTCGGAATGTTTACAATATAAGCCAAAGTTGAACACTAATGTGACCATAAACTAACACTGCTAGAATGTGTGTCGGTGTAGAAACAGTTTAAATGCTAGAGGAAATGGGTTAATGGATCACCGCCAGCATAGCGCCAGATTTAATGAATTTCGGAAACTATCTAACAAATTACTTACGTCTCGTGAAAATCCGGAGATTTGGAATTGTTCCGAAACTGACCAGGAGGCGACAGGCTTTCGGAATCGGAATAAGGGCTGGTTACTGTAGAACTGGTCTTGAAGCTCACTTTATCAGGGCTTCTGCGAATGGTCCCATCTGTGTAGCTGCGCTTTATTGGGTCAAACCTAAAACACCCCAAAAATAAATAATTACATGTCGACTAGCGCTGCAAAACACCATCATACCTTTTTCTTTCATCTTTATAAAATTCCTCTCTATATTCCTTTTTGAGTGGTTGTGCGTTCAAGGCACTTTGTGTGAATAAGTTATCAATGGGATCGCGGTCTTGTAAAGGGGTTTTTCGTTGAGGTATCGGCGAATAACCGCATTTTCCGACAGAGGAATAAGTCGAATTGTAATTATACGATGGGTCAGCTTGAAAATTTGGCACTGGCTTGGCGGAAGGGTAAACTCCAGTTTGAACCTGAAAAAAAAAACATTTCATAATTCAGCATCTTCCAGCCTAATTCCAGCGGAATGTAATCTTGAACGCTCATTAATACCAAAGGCGTTATCTGAATGAAACATCAAGAATTTTAGTGGCTGTACATAATTCTCTTTTAGCGCGCTTCGTCTATCATCAATTCAGTTTAAACCTCTTAAGTATCGTTTTACTGAGCCATTTCCGAAAAACCCAAATAAAATATGTTCACAGTTAGTTTAATCAGTAAGGAAATGTTGGCGCCTTAGTGTTTTGAAATCAGCCGCTTGTATAATACGGATGTTTGACTTCGAGCCGTGTTGAAGATGTTTGCGTTGTCATTGAGTAACAATTTTACAATAATGGTTCAATTTGTTGGTCCAATTGAAGTAGATAATATTTTAAAAATTATGAACACAAGTGCGATTTTAATTGAGATCGGAAAATTTGGATCAAAAGTATGACATTAAGTCAGATGAATCTGAACAAACTGAAATAAACAAAGCCAAAAAAATCTAGTAAAAGCAAACAAACCGAATATCGAATTCAACCCAAATGAACCTAGAAACCCAAATCAACACAAACTCACCCAAATGAACCCAAACAAACACAAGTGAACCCAGACAAACGCAAAGAAAGCTACATAAGCTCAAAAAAGCTCAATTGCGCCAAAATAAAACGAATCCTACCGAATCTAAATAAACTCAAAAAAATCTAATTTATATTCAAATTCTAAGCAAGTAATTAAAATGAAAAATATGATGCACACAATTAAAAGTTCGTGAGGTTTCTTTGGCCAAACTAACCCACTAATAATATTCGATTATCTGCAAGGCTTCTTGCCTAGTAAACCGAAGTTCCCTGAATTAACGGTTGATTTAAATTCAAACAATCAGACACTCAGACACACATAAGCACAAGTAAACTTAAACAAACTGGAAGAAACAAAGCGAAAACTCCCAAACAAACACCAATGAACTCTGGTTAACGCAAACGAACCCAATCAAACCTAAACAAATGATCCCAAACAAATCCAAATAAAACCCAAAGAGCTCAATCACTATTTCGGTATGCTTCAGATCTATGTAGCTGTTGGGTTCAATAAGCTCAGACGAACTCAAAAAACTCGAAATGAACCCTAACGAACAAATTAAGAGTTAGAAAGATGACAATGTGCACATGTTCAAATGTTCCTAATGTTTCTCCAGCAGTTTCAACGCTCAACAATATTTGCGAGTGTTACAGTATATTGTCTTCAAATGTTATTCCCTCAAGAGGTCTGTAAGTTAAAAGAAACAAAAACTCTATTTTTTGGAAACCAGAAACCTGGTGTTAATGTAGATTTTTATACACAGTAGTTTTTGTATTTTAATTTCAATTGTCCAGTTTTTATGTAAAATCGAAGTCTAAATTACACACATTCAAATGTGAATATCGAATTTCAATGTTTGTATTTTTGAAATTTATTGAATTTGCCGAAACAGAAAATGTCTACACAAAATTGATAAAATATTCCTGCTGGTTGGCGCTCAGAACGCAATTAATCGCAAAAGAAATACAATGAATAAAGAATGTTTTTCTTATGGACTTAATTATTTTGCAGGATTTAAAATTGTTTGTCGAAACCGAAAATGATTAAATAAAATTGATGAGATTTCTGTTGGTTGCAGCTCAGAACGTTGTATTTCATCTCAAAATAAACACAATTAATTAAAAAATCCCTGAAAATAAATGAACGTAATGGAAATATATTACATTCATTCATTTTCAAGCGACTTAGTTTGAAGCAAAAAAAATTAGAAATAAAATAATTTAGAATTGCCAACTTCAATTTTATGAATTACAAATTATACAAAAGCATTCTTATTTCTTCCGATTACATTTTTCTTTATTGGTAGTGGAGAAAACGCTTTGGATGTTTTACCAAATCTTTATACCAAACATGAGGCTTCTTAAAACTTTTACACACATTTTATGTCTTCTAAATTCCAAACTGTTAAAATATTTAAATAGGTACTTGATTTTTTCATTAAATCATATTAGGCGATCTTTAACCAGCATTTTCCTAATTCAGGCGAAAATTCGAGCCCGGAAAAGTTGAGTTTTCCAATTTCCAGACGATTTCAATAATTCAAATAGCTTTATTAATATTTCAAATGCAACTGTGTTCAGCTGGGCATTAAAATACTCCATGTGCAATTAATCTTCTCGAAATATCACTTCTTCTACATACAATTTAAAAAATGATTTATTTATCATTAAACAGTTTGTGGAACGTGAACTTGAACACGTTATTGAGAAATTTACTCCACAACAATTAATCTATCTACTATTATTTACACCAATCGATTAATTTGTGAGATAATTCCGACATAAGTAGGTTTATCAACGTATTCCTTATCTGATATGTTTTCGTCGATCAAATTCCGAACTGGCTTGGCATAATTGGACGCCCACCACCACATGAAATGCCTGTACAATGAGAAAACCCGACATTTATTAGAAATCGTAAAATGACACAGCCTAATAATTTCACTGTTAAATGCGTCTATTTTCCCGTAATGTGAGAAAATTGAGTCAGTCAACATGGTGTTTTGAGCGGATAAAAGCAGACATTATGTCACAGTCGGTGGGTGCGCTTATAGGCTGTAAAAAGGGCAGAAAATGAGAAATAATCAGTAAAGCCTCGGCAAAAATAAATCATTCACATTTGCGTTACTGCACTAGAAAATGGATTTTGTAAGCTTTTGACGGTGATGTTTACAGTCCGCACACTAGTTATCAAGTTCAAAAACCTGATCTCAATGATGTGAAAAAATCACTATTATCTCCTCGTCACTTTTTCCCGTGGAATCCCTTACCTTGGCTAAAGTATCGCCATGACTTTTATTTACACTGGCTTTGCGAACAAGACTCGGACTGGATAAACCTTTTGAATCCCCAATCATATCTTGGTTGATCCCGTAGCTGAAAGGTTTGCTGTTTTCCCTCGCGTGATACGGGATTTCCTTTTCCTCTTCCTGAAATGAAGAGCAAATCCACACGTTAGTCTGCAACATGCTAAATGGAATTTAACGATTTATTTAACACTTTATTTAGTTTTCTCATCGCGCTCGCACTTGTTTATATTTGCAATCGAAAAAGTATGTTAAGACTACTTCCTCATTGCAGGTTCTCTATAACAAACACGGAGGTAATGCAAGAGTGCATCGAAGTTCTTGTAGGTAGAGACAGTTTATTTTACTGAGCACACATTATCGGCAGAATATATATACCGGCTTTTAGAGTTGCGCTTGTTTAGGAATTTCGTTTATGTGCTTTATTTTTAATGCAAATTTACTTAATACATGTACACAAAAAGTATTTTGGTCCCCAAATGAGTCAGTTTGTTTTACGAGACCCATTTGGTGCAGACTTTATTAGAAATTGAGTTAATTGATTTCAAGGAATTGAGCATGAATGAAAAAGTCTCTACGCAGATTTATTTAGAAAGTAAGTTTGTGAAGAATTCCGGAACATTATTGCCTAAAATTGAATCCACTTGCTACCAAATTACCAAAACCTGACCAATGTTTCTCTATTTCATATGCAAATTAAGCCAACTAACAAGCAACTTTTTCAGATATCTATCTATAACGCGGTGTCTTGTAGCAGCCGAAAAATTTCAACACCACCGGAAGAAATGTAATTTTTCGATGCCAAACCAGTTTTATTAACATTTCTGACGATAAAATCTACATTTTAAATCGCAGCTCGTGCAAATAAAAATTGTTTGATACGTACCCTACATCTACACAGCGCTGAAAGCGCACAAGAGTTATTTTTGGTTCTTCGAACTAATTTCTCGTTTTTAATGGAATGCTCGAGTAAACAAATTATGCTAATCAATAATATGAAAGGCAAATTGAATACCGCAAAGATCATCGGGTTTTACAAAATTGCATGCTAATTAATATTGAGTACCTAATTGAAATTCCTGCAGTATTAAATAATAGCAAATAGTTAAAATTCCTGCCGTATAACGTTGGAATGTTAAGGATGCCATAACTCATGTGATCTTGATTGGTTTTTGATCTTTTATTCGGCTTTTACGCATTTCACCAACTAAGCAAACGTTCAATTACCTCTGAAATTTTTAGATTTTGCGGTTTAAAAATGGGTTTAGTCCAACTTGAACCGATTTTTTTTTAATTCCAATATGGAAGGTTATCTTCGTTGGTGGTGTAAACTAAAGATGTTCAGATTATGTAAGGAAAATATGGAATAAATACATTTGTTTTGCAGTATTCACTTTTCAATTTCAGTTTTTTATGAAGAAAAAATGAGAATAGGTACCCAGAAATAACAATGGAATATTGTAAAAGCTTTGTCTCAAAATTGGTTACAATTGACAGTAATATTATATATAAATTTTATGTAGAATATAAGTTAACATAAAAAGTTGCTCGAGATTTATTTAAATAAAACCATTAAAAATAACTTCGAACCCCTGTATTTGGGTTTCCGTTGACTTTTCTTCCAAATTTTCTGCGCTAAACGGTATTATTTTGATCGATAAAACTAGCCGTTAAATATTTTGCCATTACTTATGGGACATCCTATATACAGCGAGTTTTAGGCATGGAAAGTACAGAAGTCGGGTTAGAATGTAATTAATAAAATGCATAGAAATATATCATAAGGGATAGGAGCTGAAGATGTAAGTGATAAAAAATTTACTTTTAACACCCTGTAACGCGTAAATAAGGCGTGCATTTTTGCCTTATTTTTGCTCAAGTAAAAAATAATGGTGCCAAAATAATCTTCTATAGGATTTTTGGTATGATTTAATAAATGTAACTGAAATTTCTTTAAAAGAAGAAATAATTTGTGAATCTAATTTTAATACATAAGGTAAGGAATACATTTTCACCCCGATGGTAAGTCTGTCGAAGTATGCATATAAATTTTCATACTTTTTTGATGATAAAATAATATGATCTACCTTTCTTCTCGATATTTCAAGAAGTAAAACCTTGCCAAATTGGAAATTCAAATGCGGGCTTTACGAAAAGACCATTTCACCAAATGTATCTTCAACCTGCACTTCATGCATTTGAAATCGCCAAGAAACAACTCTGGAGGTTTATCAACCAAATTTCATGAAGTATAAAAAAGAAGAGAACCAAATTAAGTAGAGTTTCGGAAAAAACACGAAAAACTTGCCAGTTAAAAAACCATTCTTCCCCACGTTCAAGCTCTAAACAAGTAGGGTAAATAGGAGTAGAAAAGGAAAGTGGACTTACCTTTTGGAATTCCCTCTTGTAGGGATTATGCTTATCCTCGTCGTCTATGTAGCGAACATTGTCGATCGAAAAGTCCTGGTTCGCGGTACGCGCACTACTATTGGTCGGCTTAAAGTCAGGAATGCTTTGTACGGTCAGCATCATGTCGGAAAGGAGCTCGTCAAGCTCACGATGCTGATCTTCAGGCGTCAGTGGGGAAGGTTGTGCCGTAGGCGGGGGACTCCCGGAGGCGTTGGTGTTGGCGTTCTGTTGATGTCCTGCAAAAGAATCGCCAAAAAATTATTTACTTATTATGACTCAACGTCTCCATTTTTTGTTTCTCCAATTGAGTACCAACCAACTTTAACAAATTGAGACAAATTTTTCCCTTCCTGAAATGAAGGCAACTGGCGTCTTGTAGATGCTTTCTATATGCGTTTATGCTGAGTTTACACATGGGAGGATTTAGTGGCGACAGTAGTAAAGGCTTACACATGATCAAAAATTGCAGCTATGCCACTAATAGTGCCGCTCTTATATGCACGTGCGCATTTGATTTTTGCAAGCCTTTAATAAGATTAGTGCCTGCCATTGTTTGTGTACGTTTTCTCTTGGCACAATTTGATTCTTCTTTTATTTCTATGCAGGGTTGCTCATTAGTACGCCAACGTGCGATATTTCAGTAATTATGAATTCTAATAGAAATTGTTCCGTACGAAAGTTTGAGCTGATTAAGAGATGCGAATTAAAAAATGTTTTCCGATATCTGTCATAAACGTGTGGTAGTAACTAGCTACGATTTTTTAAATAGAAAATCCGAAAAAATTACGATTGTCGAGTTATTCAGAAAAATATGAGTTTTTGAAAATGAAAAGTATTCAAATTTGTCTTCTGGGGGCCCAAGGGAACCAACTACGTGTTGACGTGTATTAATTTATAAAAAGTGCTGCCCAATGAACCTTTAAATTGCACTGTTTTAAAGCTCAATAACTTGCATATTTTCAAATTGAACTTTACTTTGATTTTCAATTTTCGGATTTATTTCGGATTATTAGTTATTCGTGAAAAATTCGAAAATTTTTAAATGTTATGGCATCATCATCAGTGCTTGCTATTTTGCCGAAGAACTAGAAACGGCAGGTTCTAAGGTTATAACACTTTATATAAACTGGCCCGAAAATTTGACAATAAATTTGAAAATCTAGGGAAAATTGGGTGGTTCCATTGAAAGTAGGCAAGCTATTGAGGTTTAAATACATTTAAATTTTCGGGTCTGATTGCGCGGTTTGTGCAAAATTTTCATAAATTAACACAAGTTAGCACGTAGATTATAGGGTCCTTTTGGAGCACCAGGACACAGATTTTCAAAATGTTCATATATGTGTCCGAATAATTTGAACACCGTGGGTTTTTCGTTTGAAACAACAAAGAAAATCTTACATTAAAATTTGATGGTAAATACGAAAATTGCAAAAAGATGGAAACGAGAAAACGAAAATAATTAAACTCAAAAAACTTTCGTACAAAACGTTTTTTCTAACATTTATGTTTACGGAGATGTCGCACTTTGACGCTCTCCAAAATTTGTCGGCACACTAATTTTGAGTTAAATTTTTGCATTCCTAAGCTGGAAAGTTGATTATGCTGGTTGACTTTTTTCATTCATTTTGCTTCATTAATGTTCTTGAGATAGTGAAGTTTATTTCGCTTTAGTTTAATTAATTAGTATTCTATCTACTCTTTTAGCCAAGATAGTGCTTAAATTAGCAAAGAATTGGTGAAATTTTGCGACTGAAACGCTGCAAGTAGGTCTGAGAAATTTTCCTACAAAAGAGAAACTGTTCCAAACAAATAGGTTTCAAAAGATTTGAATAAGCAAATGCATTTTTAAAATTTAAAGCATCTAATCGCAAAGAACCTGCCCCCAATAAAAATATTATCTTGTGATGGAAAAATATAAAAATATTGCCTACCTGCAGAAGAGATTCCACTGTCCATAGACACGGTCAGAGGACTTGAAACTGCTCCTGGAGATAACTCCGGTTTTTTTGCTATTGTTGCATAGATGCTTCCATCCAGGGGTCCAAATGTGTGATTAACATCATCTGTAATAAATAAATATCAAACACATAAATTAAGCAAACTAACATGTACCTGAAATTGCAAAATTGTCAGCACTGCCAAGTATTTCCTGGCAAAAGTTTGCAGAACTTTGCAAAGAAATACTTCAATGCGATCGGTCCATAAAACTGTTAAGTATTCCTGTCGATAAACGTTCGAAATGGTAAAAAACGGATTAATTATTGGCTAGAAGCGTGATTTATTACACTCATGAAACGCGGCACTTTGATAAGAAGCCACCAATTGCAGTCGCTACCTTGGTTGATCAAAATTGATTCATTGGCGTAAATTATTGTAATTTAATTCAGTTGCAAGGCAAAACATAAATCATACTTTTGAGTGCGTAATTGTGCCGTATTTACACCTTATTGGCGGATTATACACTCAGTATAGGTGCCGATGGTGGAAAACCGCCACATCACATCTCAAGTAGTCACCACCGTTATATTTGATCTGGTAATATCAGCCGGAACTCAGAAAAGGTCCCAATTTATTGTTTCGAAATGTGTAATAACCACTTAGATGCGTGAAATGTCTTCGACCAAACCATATAAGGCTTGGGGCGATTTAGAATGTCAATTGATAGCAAAATAATGGAAATTAAATTTGCCATTTATAGGGTAATTTGGGTTAGTGACGAGAATTCTGGTGCTAAATGGTGAAAGGTTCTCCAGGAAATGTATGCAGTCAATCAATTTTGATTGAAAGGCCAGTTTAAGGTGCGCTTGATTTATTGCAGAAAAATAGTTTTATGTTTTGCCTAACTTCATTTCTTCATTCAATAGCATCTGGTCTTCACAGGTGCTTCCAGACAAACTTGCATCAACTTCATCATCATCATCATTGTCTCATTGGATTCAACTTTCCACACTTATCCAACCAGCTCAGGCACTGAATTCAGTTTCTTCAGTGAGAAGCATTAATTAACTTCAACTGTTGATTATGACGCCTTGTTCGCGATATTTTTCCTAGACATATGAAACGCTAAAACCCATTAACGGCTTTTTGTTAAGCGAAAACAGTCGGATTTGACATTAGCTTTCACAGATCGAGCCGCATTAGTTAAGGCAAGATTTTTTCAGGGCATCGCAAGATTAAATCTTCGAGCTCTCGTCCGTTGTTCAGGTGGAAGAAATCGGCCATATAAGGACGTCAATTAGTGGCTTAAATATGGAATAGGCTGAGAGAAACATGATCGAAATGGTGCGGTTATTGAAAATCGACCGACAATTGGGTCTTGAGGCATTTCCTTTTATGTGTTTGTAGCAACAGCAACCGACACTTTCCTTTTGATCCTTTCGCATTAGAACATGAAATAGTTTAGTTGGAAAGTTCGCCAGAACTCCATAAAAACTTGCTGCTTAATCTTGCATTGGTTATACATATTTCTACATTTCGACATAAAATCGTCCATCAATTTGGAAAAGGATATGAGCACTTGCCATTCTCAAGTATCAGCAACAAATGCGACGTAGATTCAATAAATCCATTTGCTCGATCGACATTGAAACCATTGAAATTCGATTAATCAAGCTCAGATGGACATGAAAATATTTATTTCAAATGGCGGTTTTGCGTATCGTGCAGACAAGGCATGTATTCGAATGTCCATAGTCTAGGCGCCACAAATTTCAATCAGCCGGGACAGTCAGTTGGAAACTATGTAGTTTCGACTCACCCATCAATTTAAAACATCCATCATTTGGTATTACATATTCGCATAGTCAAGGAGGCTTAATTTGCTGTTTTATTTGATAAAATCAGTTGGATTTATTCTTTCTTGACCGTAAATTGCCTATTTTTTATCAAAAGATGTCTTAATTAGCCGGTAAGCTTTTGTAGTTTTTTACATCAGCTTTTAACGAAGTACAGACTCTTTAAGTTAAATTGAAGATCAACGCAAAAACGGAAGAAGTTATTTACAGCGACGGCCTAATAGCTAGAAAAACTCACCCGCAACTTTTTTTTACCAAAGTTAGGGTAAATCTCATAACAATTTGCATAAATATAATTCTTGACTGTGTGTTGTAATCGGCAATATTGACTCACAATTCTTATCAATAATTATGCAATATTTGAATGGTGTAATATTGATTTTTCGATCAACATATTTTGGGCATTCATGTGGACGATATTTAGATAGTTTATCAAAACAGTTGTTTATGCATGTTTTTCTAACTTGAATACTATCAGCGACCACATTCAATTTATCTATAAACTCACATCAATCATGTTTACTGATTCTAATCTAGTGTTTGTGATCCACTGGACTTTTTCTGCAACTTAAATATGTCACTTAAAGCTTATATTTTTAAATTGAAGTGTTTCTTCCGCTGCTCCTAAATACTTCAAAGGCAACAAAGGGTTCAGAATGTTCCATTTGGTCAATTTTTGACTGGTTAGACGAACAATAGCTTCATCCTTTCAAACACTTTTCGCGTGCATTAAGCTGTCGAGCTCTTCGTTGATTCGTTCGATGTTTCTTCGAATGGTTTATCCCAGCGCCTTCGTCTCTTAATTCCGTCCGATTTAAAAAAATCTCCAATACAATAAGTTCGGACAAAATTAATTACCTTCCATTCTAGAATTTGCCTCAAACCATAATCTTCAACATCTAGACACATTTTTTTATGAAAAATCAAACTGCTACCTACAAAAATTCCTCGAGGGCTGTTTCTGCATCTGAGCATTCCGCTCATGCATCGACCGTTTGTCCTTAGTTTAATGAATGAGATGGCATTGACCATTAAGAAAACGAGGGCACTTTTTAACAGTATTTGCATGAACGGCGCAGATCTGATTTATGATTATTCGTTTATTATGGAAATAACGTCGTTGGAATAGAATACAAGACCGACAATTATTAATGCTGCAACTAACAGATCACTGCATTGTTAATATAATGTGTCCCGAAGAGATGGAAGAGGCAATTACAAAAATGCCTGTTCTAGACCTCAAAAGGCAAAACTTCAAGCCGTCAATCACCAAATGACTCACATGAGTCGATTTAAGGTCGTCCAGTTTTTTTGTGAATGACCACCATATCGGCACTTAGTTTAAAAAGGCAATAAAGTTGTCCCTTCTTTTAAATCAATGCACTTGAATAAACAAACGTACTACAGACGTAAAAAGGCTGTTACGTTGCAGGTATGAATTTTACATGACTGTGGGGAACCGAGGACATTGCCAAGGCTGATTCCAAATATGAAGACAGCAGCCAAGCAAATTTCTTGCAGTAAAAATGACGGATAGGTTTACATCAATTTAAATAGGACATCGATTACAATCAATTAACCCGAGCGGAGTTTGCTCAGGCAATAATTAAGTTATCAAAATAATTGCACGTTGAAACATGCACAAGGAATGAATTAATAATTTTGCGCGATAAACGATGTTGATGTAGGCGAACTGCTCATTGGGCGAGCAATTATTTTACATGCACAAATAGGCAAGTAATTCCTTCACTCTCAATCAACGGGATTTATGAGCTTAATTTGCTGGCGTGGCATTTCAAATCGTTTCCTATAACCAACCGGTAAATTCAAAGTTTCAACTGGACATACTCAGAAAATTGTAAAAGTCTTCTAATTGCTACTGAGAGCCTGAGATACTTGAACGCTATCAGCTAAGTAATCTACAAAATTATGCAAATACGACACGGTAAAATGAATGTTAAAGATCATGGTGAAGAATGCATAATCGCACCTCAAGGTTAATCGTTTGCTGTTCCGACCCAGCCAAATGTTTGCTTTTATCTTATGCGCTACCATAATTGTGCAAACAGCAGGTGCGATTGAATTTTTCCTTTTTAAAGAGATTGCGATTCACAATTATGCTGTTTCCAGTGCAATTTATAACCGACTGTTACATATGGATGAGATCTGCAGGTTTTAATTTGTGCAAGATTAATGATTGTGTGTGGTGCCAGAATTGATTGCTGTTGTTCACTGTGTGTGATGGAACTTATCAAAATATCACTTGTTTGCTTTATCTGGTGTAGCGGTTTTATTTATGTGTGTATAAATGGGAAAACAAATCCACGAGATAGTTAATTGAAACCTACTCAAAGTACATAGAGGAACCATTGTTTATTATTGATCTTCCGAACTTTAGAAGTTTCATTCGGTTGATTCATACTATCTTTAGCTCAAGATATGTAAACTTCTACAACGGAGTTTTTTTTGCAGAATCAGGTTCAAAATGCTAATAATTACGGCCAAGTTTATTCAAACCGTTCTATTGAAAAAATGAGGCTAATGAATTGGCCAGCAAGACATTCGGACTTTGTCCCAACATATTTTTTGATCATTTTCAAAAGCCAGAAGCAGATGTTATTGTTATAAATTAGGCTTAGCTTATTGAGCCCCAGATTATTAAAAAATTAGTTTACCTCATGTTAATTTCATGTCCCCAGTTGCCATTTCCGTTTGAACTTGGTTATTTAGCAAGAATTAATGCCAAATTAATTTTAAATAAAATTGAATGGAATGAAATTAACCGCCGATAATAAGCGAATAAAACATGGTCGATGCAAGCAGCTTTTAAGAAGAATTTCAAGGAAGCAGAATATTGCAACATTTGACAAACTGATGAAAACGAACGTGCAAAGTTACGGCTTTAAGGCACTATCGACAAAATCTCCGAAATCATTAGATCGTTTTTTATGCCAAAAACACATTTTTCGAAATCGGCACTTCGGAAAATGTATTGGTCAATTTTTGTTAACTCATGCAACAAGAATTGTACTTGCAAAAGACCAACAAAGTCTGCCATGAGAAGGAAAGAGAGAAAATGCAAAAATGGAAGAAAATTGCCTCCACTGGGAAATATGATTAAAATTGGAAAGGCAGAGAAGAAAAAAATTCGAATTCAAAGATCCCATGAAACTTGAAAAACAATTTTTTCGATTGATTTCCTCGATTTGTAAAAGAGTCTAGATTGGAATCAACATTATAAAACCGCAAAATATGTACTCAAAAATATA